TCCTAATAAACAGCCCCTTTTACAAATTTCTTCAAACTTTATTGATACACTGCACAAATCACAACCATCTCGTATTCATCCTGAATTAGAAAAGGTTACAACTACAATGTAACATGCACAAAATTCAGGTAGTATATTCACCCTTAATACAATTATTGACAGAAATCAAGTCTTTATTGATTCTTAAAAAAAAAAAAAAGAAAAGAAAAGAAACAAAGAGAACTGTAGAAGGCTGATCAAGTTATACTCTTGCATCATGTGATAAATTTTTAAAGCATTTGAACATAGATTTTTATGTTAAGGATAATTGTGATAATGGGCACAGCCACTGTCTGACACAGCTAGAACGCACCATTGCGAAGTCATAATTTATTTTTTTCCAGAGGACTCTGAAGTCGACAGACACATTTTCGTACACCCACGCATTCCTCACAACTGCACCGAATATATCACAAAATGCTCCCTGTAACTAACACAAGGGCAGCTATTGTCACTTACCATCGCTATTTTGGATATCTTTATAAATCTGCCAATAGTGTAAGTTGTGGCCCCCAGAGGGCAGAATAGAGGGTTCACACGCTTTCTCTCTCCACTCAGTGGTCGGGGAATAACGGGAACTGTGTGTTTTTAAAGGGGCGCAATGGAAAGAACAAAAAGGAATCTCTCTGAAAGTACTGAAAATTAGGCAGGGATGGCTAATTTCAAGATGAAGACAATGTGTCTAATTAAATCCATCTACGATCCTTCTGGACACCAGAACATGCTGCACCTGAAGGCTGAATTGCACTGGTTCAGCGTTCTCTCTCTCTTTTTTGCCACATCTTTTAATTGCAAATCTATCTTTTCCTCCTTTCATTTACTTCTCTTCTCTGAAGGAAGAAATGAGGGAAATGAGACAGGCATATTTATTTTTATTTGTTTGCCTTTCACAATCATTAGGAGTTCTCATCATATGGAATCAGGGAAAATGCTGCCTTCCTCCTTACACACCTGTGAAGTTTGATGGCAGCGACTCAAACATATTTGTCTTAAAAGAAAAGGATAGGGAAGCTCTGGACGGTAGGAGGGGAGGCAATTGAGTATAAGCGCACCTAGGAATAAGACGGGTGCAAAACGCAAACAAAAGGCTCTTATTGTTGGAGAGAAAGGGGGAAGTGAATTCTGCCAAAAAAATTTGAAAAGCCTGATGTTGCTTTCCTTGATTCCCATGGTATTGAATTCTGCTCTGCTTGCTTTAGATATTTATTTTTTCATTCATTCATTTTTTCCCTTTATTTACAGGGGGTGATTTCAGATATCACAAAACTAGTTTCTCAGGGACTGACTCCATGCTAGAGGAACGCCAGAGGCACCCCTTCTTCCCTCATCTTGAGCCATTTCTCTCCACCCTGAATTGTGGGACTGATCACAGTCCCACAGTCTCACCCACCACAAAGCAGAAGACACTGCCTGTGGCATGGGCAATGTCCAATGTGAGCATCGAATTCACAGCCAACATTGATGCAATCACAACAATAGGCTCTGGGATCCACTACTTGCTAAAGGTTCAAGAAAAGTTTCATGAGAAGGTTCTTTCGTCATTGAGGAGTTCATCCAGGAGAGGCAGAACCTGCGACCTCCTCAGTGTTGCGAATAAATTGCCCGGATGGTTGTAAAAGCAGAACCTAAAACTCAGTCGTGACAGGTACAGTTCTACAGTTCCAGGGCTCAGGTCTGACCCAGATAGCAAGAACGAGTCATCCAACCTTTGAGCTGCATCTCTGAGAGTGAGGCATGGGTCTCAGGAAACAAAACCTGCAACTCTTCTAGATCTAAAGTCATACATTTTCTGCCTTTGTGTTGCGTACAGTTGCGGGACAACCACGATGCACAAGGCTCACGTTTGCACCAAACCCACCCCCCCACCCCCCACAACCCCACCCCTCCCCCCTTCAAACAAGAATGAGAAAAACTAAATGCACTTGCTCAGACTTGCAGATGACTGTATCAGGCACTTGACATTAAACTTCAAAAAACAAGCGAGGCCAGAGGCTTAACACGAGCACTTTCATTGGCATTACTTTGGCGGAAGGACAGATTCACTTTGTTTCGGGAAAGGAAAGGCTTCAGAACTACGTGGCTGACTCCTCCTCATCCCATATTGCCATATGCCTTTATTTGGTTTCCTCTCATTGTGGAAAACCACTGAAGAGCTAGAGGTGGCTGGGAGATATGTTTCTCTTTCCCTCCTTAACCACTCTCCCTACTGGACATATTTTGGGGAAAAAATAATGTTTTGGAAACCTCATCTATCCAGCAGGCTTATCTGCCCTCCATGGCTACAGCTGTCATAGCACATGTGAGTGGTTGCTGTCTGCAGCAAACATTGGCTGGTTCGTCTTCAAAGGACTGGGTTAGAGCTACTTTCCTATGGAGTCATCCCCACCAAGTAACCAATCACAGAAGAGAAAAAGTCATTTCCTTTCTCAGACTCTGGGTTTCCTGGTGTCAAATTTACTAAGTTTTCTTTATCCCAGACAGGTAAGAACTGATGGTAGGATTCATTTTTCCCTTTGAGTGTGGCAGGTCGAGGGGCTTCCTAGAGTCCCTGTAGGAGGGTAGTGCAGAGTGCCAGGGTGACTCTGAGATTTGGTGGCCTTAGGTTTCCAAATGTTCTAGTCATCTTTCTATCTGAGGAGAACAGACACTCCTCTAGAACTGTCCGAGTGGATGAACACTCTCAGCTCGTCCTTTTCAAGCACAGTGCTCTCCAACATCATCCTCTCTCCACCACTTCCATGCTGGACTGTACTCCAGAGAGCTGCCCGTGACCAGCAGAGCACTCACATGCGCATTTATTTCTCGTGATGTCTGACACCAACTCTGCTCCACAGGTGGGGGGTGGGAGTCCTCCAAAGCAGGATGTCCCGCCTACCTCTGACATTGCATCTGCTCATGATTGTCCCTGGAACTGGGCATCCATACATTACTTTGGGCACATCCCTTAGGCTCCCAGAATCTGGCTCCTGGCAGCTCTGTAGGAAATGCCGATGTCTGTTTACAGCTGGCAAAGGTAATATTAATTTCCCTCTAGTCAGCTCTAAGTCTTGTGGCAGCGCCTAGTCTTTTGTATATGCCAAAGCAGCGCATACGTTTGTATGTGTGTATGCATATGTATATACATATATGCATATATATGTCTCCATATGCATTTATATATTCTCCCACTGTGTATGTCATGAGATGAAAGCAACAACAACCAAAAAACAAAGAGGCCACTTTATCTTGGAGGGAGCGTATAAATAAAGCACTAAGGGAAGGAAACAACATGAGCTCACATGTGTTCTTATTTAGACTGTGGGCCTGAAAGAATGTCCCAAGGGAACAGGGCAGGTCTACGAGACGGACACAGTTCAATCCCTGCAACACAAGTGACTTTATGGTTTCTGAATGTCCTCCCTTTAATCATAGGTTCCCTTACTGGCCCAGTGCTCCTTGTCCTAGGAGCTGATACAGAAAAACTAGTGGTTTCTGCTCGCACACTGGACCCGCGGAAAACTTGGAGAACTAAGCATGTTTTTGTTTGAAGCTGCTGAAGAAGCCATGTGTTTCTGAGGAAGCCCTATGTCGCTTACACTTTTCCCCTTCTGTTTGCAGTGTTGTGTTAATCAAGTGCTTGGAAATTAAGTCAGTTGCTCAAGTGCCCTCAGCTCAGAAGAGCTTCCTGAAACAAACACCAGAGTTGTCAACACACCCACCATGTAATTGGCTTCCATTAGCTTTGCACTGGATGATTTTCAAACAGATGAAACCAAAGCTGTAGCAGAGAGGAGACAATAGCTGAAGTCCTTGCACTCAGATGGGCACATTGCTCTCTTCCCCTTGCGGAGACAGTCACGTGTAATTTTTCTTCTCGTATGGCCTTGTTCTTAAAGAAAGTCATCAGCCATGGGGTAGGTTCCAGAGGTTCCTCGCATTCACTTTCTGAGAAGGTTGGGGGAAGCATGAAGGTTGACACCTTAGTCCTTCAAGTGTGGGAGAAAAAAGAAACATAACAAGAGTGGAGGTGCTTTGGGGGGCTGACCCACTTTCCACTTGGAAATTCTGGTCTTCTGGGAAGAGCATGTGGCTGATCATCTGATTGCTACTTTGGTCCATCTGTCAACAGTGTCGACTTTGGGTACATGGGATCCGATATTCCAAAGAGTTTAGGACATATTGCTTTTTGTATATTGTTTGCCTGTAATACCATTGGCTATCACAAGAGAAGCTGCTAGGTAAGTCGGAAGAGGCCAATGTCTGCTAAAGGTAGAGAAATGAATACAGTGGAAGAGACACAGAACCATCAGAGATCAACATGGGGATGAGCTGCGGTGTGTTGTGGGAGCGGGGGAGAAAGAACGGTCATATTATTCCATAGAGAGAATGATAAGCAGTGAACAGATTTCTAAAAACAAAGATAGGTGGGCATAAAACTGGATGGAGAATTAGAGCAGACAATGTGGGAAAGGATAGCCATATGACTACTCGCAAAGAGAGTTTGTGAGAACCTATGTAATCAGCCATCTGTGGATCTTTTTCACTTTTTTTTTGTTTTTTTTTTTATGAATTCAACAGCATAATTAAAAGACAAGGAGTATTCTCAAATGCTTCCCTCCATTTTGGTCACTTGACCTCAAGATGTTACCACTAGGGTTGGGTGTAATAACCTGAACCTCTAATTCCTGTCGCTGATGAAGAGTGAAAATGGGGAAGAGGGGGAGAGGGTACAATGAATGATCTATGGATTTACTGGGAGAACTTCCCAGAAAGAGAGACTGTGAACCCTTAAGCATTAGAGAATAATCAAATGAGGGTGGGATATGTACATTATCATCAGGAAAACGGCCCAAAGCTGAAAGACACAGGTGCTAGGACACTTAAATACCATTCTTGCTTTGCACTTCATTTTAAGTCAACTTGTGTCTTCAGGGTGTTTTTGAGGCACATTTCTTTGTGTTTTTTTTTTCTTTTTCTTTTTTGCCCAAATGGAGCTTTATGATTTGATGAGGTGTGGGGAAGGGGGCAGTTGAAGGGGATGGGGTGATGATGGTGGGAGAATGGCTGAGGCAGGCGAGGGGCTAGGGTGGCAGGAACAGATTCTATTTCTTGGACACACCAATGAAGGATTATCCTACACGTGGTAGAACCCAGCCCACCTCCCCCACCCCAACCCTGCTCATTCAAATACGAAAAAGAAAATCAAAGAAACCAACTGAACAAAACTCCAAATGAAAATGAAATCAAGAACAGAAACCAACAACAAAAAAGAAGCCCAACTGGTTTGCCCTCCGCAGTGTCGATTAAAGTCTGTGATATGGAGAAGCAGGCGTTGCTCAGAGGACCTAGGGTTTCTTATCAAAACTTGATGAAGATGTGAGCAAAGAGGGTTCCTGAGAGCCAGAGACAGGCCAGCGCTCTCGAGGCCGAGTTTACGCCGTCAATGACTGCTCCAGGCCCTGTGTGGGAGGGAGAGAGAGAGAGACAGGCCATTAGCACGCACCCAAAGTGCACCAGACTTACTCCCAACAAGCAAATGACACACATGCTTTTCTGTGAACATCCTTCCCACCAAACACCAGTACCGCCCCTGGACAGGAAAAGGTGACCATTCAGAGTCTTTAGAAACTCCCTGGAGCACATACCTGGGAAATTTTGACCAATAGAACCTGCTCTGAATTCTGGGGTGGCAAGGGGAGATGGCAGTATGGGGACTGGGAGTGAGATCAGCAGATGGGGCTCTGTGATATGGCAGAATCCACGCAAACAGGGCCTCTCTGGGCTGCTGTCTGCATATAGTAGAGACAGGGTGAGAGGGGGAAGGCTAAAGCTAGGGGAGGAGAGAGGAGGAGAGAGGCTGAAGCAGTGTGAGGAGCAAGTGTGGGGACCAAGGGGGATGAAAATATTTGGGGAGCAACTAAGCTCAGTACTGACGTGATGACTTTTCATCCTATTAAGCACACATCTTCCTGGAGTCATGGAACAAACAAGAGATTGTTCTGCTTGAGAGTTTTAGAGATGAGGGCTGGACCTGTCCCAGTCATCAGTGGGGCTTCTTCAAAGACAACCAATGAAGATGCAATATCCTCAGGCCTAAATGTCATCTTGAAGCTCCACTTGAAGTTCTTACTATACCTCATTTTCTTGTTGTCTTTCTTTCTCTCTATACCCTTTGACCCAGTCCCTGTGAATCATCTTCACTTCATTGTGAAACAAGGACACAGAATCATATGTATGTTGGGGTTTCCCTAGCAAATTCCAAGCGCCCAAAGCAGGTGTACATATCCAACTACCTCCATCGCTTCTACTGGAAAGCTATAAAGACAAAGATTTGCAGCCATAAGCACAGTTAGAACCTTGCAAGCAGAATCTGCCAGTGAAAGCCAAATTAAGTAGGAGTCAGTGAACTCATAACCATCCAGAGGCCTTCCAAAAAGGCCTCTGATGAAGAAAAAAAGATTTGGACTAAGCAGTGATCCTCTTTTATCTTCTCAAGCCAGGCCTCCACTCCCTTTCAGAAGACTGTCTTTTAGAAGTAGATTGTCCCAGTGGAAATAAGCACAGCACCTTACAAACACTGGGAGCTGAGTGTCCTCAGAGAGAAGGCTTGCTGGTCAACCTGAGGGCAGGGATTCAGGGCTCAACTGGGAAGGAAGTGACACCTTCACCTTGGTCTCTCTCTTGAGCAATGAACATTCAAGAATTGTGACTGGAGGGATTTTGTCACAGACACCTGCTCTTTAATGTCCAAGCTACACATTTCTAATGATTAAAAGTTTAGTCAATAGCTTGGCAATATGGCTCTGTATGTTCTGATATAGAGTATTCAAGGTCAAGGTCAGGATCTGAATACCAGTGATATGATCTAATTCTCATGAAAATTCCACAAATACTATTTATAGCTGCCTGTTTCTTGGGCCTCTGGCTGTCTGGACATATATCTGAAGGAATAGTGGCCTATCGTATGTGCTGAATTGATAATGTTCTCTGAAATGCCTTCTAGAAAAGATAAATGATTTAGAATTTTAAATAAGTTCATAAGGAATTTAAGGTATCTTTCTTTAGATAGGTAGGTATGACCTCTATTTAATATATATACATATATTCACACTTATATGTGTGTGTGGTATTCATATGTGTGCTTTTCTAATTCTTATGTACATATTCATTCAAGGAACTACTGACACTCTAACAAGTCCCATACTTGAATGACAGAAGTCTTCAGTGTAGTAATAACTCAATTCTATGTTTTGCCAAGGGATTTAAGCATTTTTATGTGAGTTTCATGCAATTGGGAAAGGTTTGAATATTAGTAAAATAAAAAGAAGAGACACAGAAGGAAAGTGCAAACTGTGGAAAGAACTTCTGAAGGAAATTAGCATTTCTGCTGCTGTGTGCCATAAGAGGTTTGGGACCTATCAGGAAGTCTTTCCAGCCACAATGAACCTCATTTAGATGTTCCAAATACTGGAAGCCTGAGGGGAACTAGGCACACCTGGAGGCTGTTCAGACCACTTGTGATGGCGATGCGGACTCTTATTGATGCTGTGCCACTTTGTGGTGAGGATGATTCTAAGTGCTAGACAGAGCCCCATAGGCTGAAGACCAAGAGCACTTGTGCTTTATAAGTGGGGAAATGAAGAACAGATAACATCTGAACATTGCTGAGGCCACCTACAACTGAACTCCAGTGGTATTGCTCTGTCTAGAGACTTTGTCCTTGGTCATTAAATGTCTATGTTTCTTCTGTGGAAAATTACCCTTTGGGCACATGCCAGAGACTACTGCACTATGACACAGGAATATGAATATTCAGCCTTCTTTATGTGGCTCTTAGGCTTATGGCTGAGTCTAATTGCTGGCCTCCACTCTCTGTCTTGGTTTCTCCATCTGTCTATCAAAAGGAGATCAGTACTGATGGCCTCAGAAGCTCTTCTGTATGTGTGCAATGTTCTCATGTTGATGGGAACTGTACAATCTGATGCAAGGGCAGTTGGAAACAGCCACGGGACATTGTTAAGTTGGTACAAACTCATTACCATTCTGGCTTGCACATGTCAGTTTGCCATATCCTTAAACAGCATCAGAGCCCTCGACCCTAAGGTTCCTGTTTGATGTGGCCTCATTTTCTATGCAATATCAAAGACTGCGTTCTTTAGCAGGTATGATGAGCTCTGCTTTATTGATGGGCACCTGACTGGTAATGTGCCTTTGGTCAGTCAGTCTAGGAGAACAGACTGTGTTGTTCTGACCAAGGAGTTCATTAATCCTCTATGACAGAGAGGAAAACTAGTTTGATTTCTCCTCAGAGATCCTGGATACATTTGTGATTTGGTAGCTAGGACAAATGCCAGTTTAGTGGGAGATGGGAAGGAGAACACTTGGCTCTTGGTCTTTGTCAAGGCAATAAGAGATCAACTACCATCCATGCTGCCCTCCATAGACTAGAATAATGGAAGACAAACACATCAGCAATATTCTTTACAACTTCCCAGAAAACCTCTTATTCTACCAGAAATGAGGAAAAGAAACCATCCTGGTTGGGTGTCTTCCATAGGGTTTCTGTTTGTCAACGTGACTCACTGAATTAAAAAGATTTCTCCTTGTGTTTGATATACAAGTGATTATGGGTGGCATCTATTTAGTAGATTTGGGTCATCCCAAAACCACTGGGACAGGTGCTGGCCACCTAATATGATTCCAGTTTTAACTTAGTAGGTAAAATCTAGAATTTAAATGGTGCTTTTTTTCTTATTTTATTTGTTTTTTTTGTGAATATAAGGATAAAGGCTATTTGGTGTGGGGGGTCACACCTGGTGGTCCTCAGGAACTATTCTTGGATCTGTGCTCAAGGAACACTTCTGGCAGTGCTCTGAGACCATATATGGTGTTGGGGTTTGAACCAGAGTTAGTCACTTGCAAGGCAAGAATCCTTAACCCCTGTATTACCTCTCAGGTGAAGAACAGTGATTTTTACAACAAACCTAAAGTCTAGGATATAGATATTCAGGCAGAATTCAGTTATGCCATGCTAATATTAAATGTGGGAAATAGTTTAATTAAAAGAAGAGGTTGAAGCCTAAACTTAGGGTTCATGGATGGGGAGATTTTGTGGCCCTTGGAAATAGTTTTTGACACATTACCACTCCCTCCAGTCTCAAGGTCTTGTCTTTTGCTTCTCAGTAATCTTTGTATTAAAATCATGGATCACTTTATAAAAATGTGACTCCTGGCAATTTTGAAGTTGGACCAATTTGTATTTAATTTATAACTTTGAGACTAGCTAGCTAGGAGTCTCAGACAAGGTACTTTGAATTATCTTGGGGAAAAAGTCAGAGCAATAATACTGAATTCATAGACTAGTCAGAGGATTAGAATGATTGGTGCTGAGCCTGGACAAAAGGTCATGTGGTTGAATTAAATCAAGCTATGAAGCTCTACCTTCTGCTACTTAAACTGTGGCTAATACTGGTTTATTCCAAGATTTTCCAGATACAATTGACCAGAGATGAGTTGTTTGGTAGCAAAGGGAGTGAAGAAGTGAGGTTGTTTTTCATAGAGAAGGGGGATTGCTACTGAGGGAAGCTACTAGCCTTAAGGTCCTGAAGGGATGAAGAAGCCTGAGAAGGGTTATGGGAGAGGTCAAAGTTAAGTTCCAGGCCAAGTTCAGGGGCAAAGGGTCAGTCGAAGCACACTCACAGCTGGCCTGGGAAATACACATCATCCACTCAGAACTGTTTCATACCAGGCTGGTATTCAGAAGACAGTCCACCCATCTCTGCCTTACCAGCCCCTCCTGTAGTAGTGCCTATAGCTTCCTCTGTCCCCATCTATATCAACAAAGCCATGTGTGTTTTAAACCTTGCCTGATTCTGGGAAGAAAGGCATTTACCACAAACTATCTTACATTCCTTTCTGCTGGATAGTTTGTTTGTTTGTTATTGGAACACAATTGGTGGTGTTTAGAGTTTACTCCTGGCTCTACATTTAGGGGTCACTCTCCATGGGCTCTATGAGGTTCTGGGATCGATCTTGGGTTTGATCATGTGCAAGACAAGTACCTTACCCACTGTACTATCATTGTAGCCTCCGTGTTGGATTAACTTAAGTGTATTGAGTTCAAGAGTAAGCAGCGCCTTGCTGAGTCTGAAACTCTCTAGAAAGAGTAATTGTACACTGGAGTCAATGCTCTGGAATTGCAAAACTGGTTTTTATTTCATTAGTTTTCTCTTACACTGGCATATTAACAAGTCCTGGAAGGCTAGCCAGGGTGTTCTGGGAATTAGTTGGTTAAGATGAGGTGTGAGATTAATGAGTGTAAATAAAAGATGGATAAACCAAGGCAAATGAGAACTAAGGTACAAAGGCTGATCTATGAAATAGCATCATTAGTGAAGATGCTGCTCCAAGTGGAAAAAAGACCTTGTGCAGTACAAGGATCTCAGAGAGAAGAATCAAA